GATGTGTAATAAAGCTCTCCGTGGATTTGAATTTCTCCAATTTGCTTAGTAATTTTATATTTTTCTTTAGAATGTTCTATATTAGAGACTAGAGTATAGTTTTGTAGTGAGTAGGTATATAGTATATAGTAATAAACTTTATTTATAGAATACGTCATGGCTAGGTTAGGTTAGGTTATAATAATTTACATACAAAAAGTAATGATATCCCACCAAAAACATATATGTAAAATGAGAGCCAAGTTCAATACTATAATATATATGCCTTGGTTGTTGACTTCAACGACAAAAGAAGTGAGATCTAAATGGGTGCCAAGTTAGGATAATATATTGAAGCCTAAGGTCTGACTTGGCTACGAATTATATATTATAGCATTTGCAAGTTCTAAAGCTGAGTTCTTATTTTATTCTTCGGAAAATCATCTTCACTTTTCTATTACTGTTTTAGTGAGTACTCAATAATAATTAGTATATGAAAACTAGCCAAGTCAGACCTTAGGCTTCAATATATTATCCTAACTTGGCACCTATTTATATCTCACTTCTTTCGTCGTTGAAGTCAACAACCAAAGCATATACAGGGTCCGGCAAAAAAACCTCCCGTATTTTTAGACGTTTATATTTAAAGCTATTTATTGATAAAATGGTATTCCGGGTATAGATAGATAGAGGTCTACGTGCCGTTTTTAGTAATCATAATGGCGTGGCACGGTGCGCATTTGTCGTAGAGGAATATATCCGTAATGGTGGTTCTGCGATTACTACTCAGCGAGCATTTCGCATTCGATTTCAACTTGGCCGACATGATCCTGTTCCGGATAGAAAAACAATTCAAGTTTGGTTATCAAACTTTAGAGCAACGGGTTCTGCGCTAAAGAGAAAATCGTCTGGCCGACCTTTAACCGCAACAACGCCGGATAATGTGGCACGTGTAAGTGCGTCTATCCAGCAATCTCCGAGGCGTTCAGCACTTAAACATGCAGCTGCCCTTGGATTGTCTGATAGGAGTGTAAGACGAATTTTGCACACACATCTTCATATGCATCCCTACAAAATGATGATCACACAAGAATTAAGTGAGAGAGATTTTGAAACTCGCAGAGCTGTTTGGGAAGACATTCTTCAAAACATTCCCGTTGGTGCTGTTTTAATTTCGTCTGACGAGGCCCATTTCCATTTATCGGGTACTGTAAATAAACAAAATTTCCGATACTAGGCAACAGAAAACCCTCAAGAAATTCATCAACGACCACTTCACAGCCCTTATGACGTGACAGTTTGGTGTGCTGTTGCTGAATTTGGTGTGTATATTTTACATAATATATGTTTTTGGTGGGATATAATATAAGTTATAACTTAATATATGTAGTTTATTAGTTTATACTGCAACATGTACATTGTACATCTAAAAAAGAATCACTCTATACAAAGTACCTATATACACAATACACAGTTTTGGGTAGTAACGTAACGCAAATTACAAATTACTGTAACAGAATTACTTTTTCAGTAACTCAGCTGTCATTTCATTACATTTTACTTAAAGTAACACAATTGTAACAAAATTACTTTTGAAAATTAATGTCTATGAAGTAACGCGTTATTTTCCACTTTATTAAAATAACATTTTCAAATGTATTACAAAAACAAACCGATAGGATATCCCAGAATAATTAAAAATCAATTATATTTATTTTCGATTCCGATAATAGTCAACAATATTACTAAACATTCCAGGAATAAATGTTATCACTTTATTAGCAGAAAGAAATTAAAAATAAAATTGTATAAAAAAATAATTATGATTTATGACTTATGACTATATAGCCCGCATATAGGTGAGATGATTGTACATTTGTACATAATAGTATTTAAGTATAATACTATGATAGGTCTATGATTTTAAAGTATATCCATAATAATTGAGTCATATGAATTGAATGGTTTAAAAAAAAATTATAAAAAAAAGTAACGTTATTTGTAACACACTACCTACTTTATTAATGAAAAAGTAATGTAACGTGATAAAAATAATTTTAGGTAACGTAAATATAATTTAAATAAATATAATTGAAGTAACGAGTAACGTAATTTCATTACTTTTTAAAAGTAATTTACCAAATGCCCAAGCTGTACAAAATTTACCAAAAGAGATATTAATTGAATTACCATCCGAAGATTCAATAAAAAGAAGTATTTCTTAACCAAAGAAGCAGTTTAAACCAGAAAAAAACAAATAGTCTACAAGAACTTGTTATTGAAGGTAATTTGCATTACCTACCTATTATAATAATAATTTATAAATGGCTTGGTTTACTACAAAATAGTTATTGAATTTTATAAAAATTAAAACCGATTTTGAGTATAATAATTTTTTTTATTTTTCCTAGCGCTTTTGAATTAATGCAGCAGAATTTGTCGGTCGGACTTAGTTTCGAAGTTATAGTGAAATTAATCAGGTTGATTTGGTGAAATCGAAGTATAGGTACCTACATAACAAGTCGAGGGATATTTTCGATTTTTACAGTCCGAGCGAGTGACCGCGACGGTAGTATATTACATATTGCTTTAATTTTGTTTTAACTCCGACACTTAAGCAAGGTGGTTTTACATAACAAGTCGAGGGATATTTTTGATTTGCTGAGCGGAGCGACATTAAAAGAGCATTAAAAAATCTCTTGGGAGCTAAAATAGAATTGTTCCATAATAATAAATAATGTGGAGTATTACTAACGGAAAAATAAGTTAAAATTCATCATTATTTGTACTATGGTTTTAGATGATTGGACACGTTGTGGGAATGAGCGATTTTTATTGAAAGATAATGGTTCAGAGTCAAGTGAACGGATTATAATATTTGCGTTAAATAGTTCATTAGAACAGTTAGCAAATGCCGATTACCTGGTTTATTGATGGGAACTTTGGTTTAGCGCCCGAGCATTTTGTACAACTATACGTCATTCGAATAATCGAATCCAAGTAGGTAAATTACATTTTTATTACGCAAGTGTTTTGCTTACTTGAGCGAAAAACGCAAAACACTTATGAAGAAAAGTTCAAAATAATTTTGAATGAGTGTAACAATCGCGAACTATACCCAGATCCGTTATACTCTAATCTTGATTTTTAAATCGCAGTTCACAAAGCTGCCAAAACAGTTTTTGGTGAACACATTTTAATTCGAGGGTCGAGGGTGCTTTATAATTTATCGAAAAACACTTACAGAAAAATACAAAACCTTAGCTTGAGTAAGCGATATAAAGAGGACGAAAACTTCGGCTGTAATTGGTACCTACCAATAATACAAACATTTAAAAATAATTTACAATTTAATTCCCCTTTATAAATTTCCAATGTGTGTTAAATATTTTACTAATCCTTCAGAAGATTTTTTTTGACAGTAGTTAATATAAGACTGTATTGTTTTTGAAATTTTTTCTTCATCTGCTTTTGATGCCTTTTGAACAGTACCCTGTTGAATAGTATTGAGTTTTAAAGACGTTTATTCCTGCCACATAGTGTATGAGCAGTGCTAAGAGTCATAATATACAGGGTGTATCTTATGTCATTGTACGCGGGGTTTTTTGACGATTACGGAACGATGATATGGAATTTTGTTAAAACGAAAAAAGACGTGTTTCTTTATTTTTAACAAGCAATTGTTTTATAACAATTTCAAAATTTTTAAACACGCAGGTGTACCAATAGCAAAATCAACTTTTTTTTTTCAAATGGTAACCACTATATTTTTTAATGGATTCTGGTAAAGCTTTTTTTTCTGAACATTTTGGTAGTCGAATCGTCAATTTTGGTTCGCTAGTTTATTAACTATGGTCCTCAGTGGCGCCGAACGCGTATTTCTATGGGGCAATTCGCCCCAGTGTTTGCTTTGTGATAGTTGAATTTACAATACAATCATGTGGGTGGTGGGTGGTGGTGGTATATAATTTTTATACTTTGCCCCACCAAATGAAAAACGAAACCAAATGATGGATGGATTGGCTTTTCTCCCTGTGGATAAAGTTTGTGAGGGGATATTAGGTAGGTACGTAATATTATAATCAATATAATATATAAAAATTAATGAATGTTAAAGTACCAATATATAGGTAACTAGGTAAGTACTTACAAGTTAGGTACAGCAGATCATTGTAATACATACATTTATTTTAAATCTCTATTAACTGTTATTTATTAGCATTAAAAAAATATATAGGTAACTATAGGTAAGCAGGTAATTATTAACTTTATTCGAAAATAGATATTAATATTAATTGACTTTAATCTAAGTTAAGTTACTTTTGTTTTATATTTAACTAGTAACTTTTACAATATTTTTTTTTAATTTATCATTAAAGAGATTCTTATAATAGGTACCTGATAATTAAGTAATTAAATAATTAGTAAATAATTAGTACAATTTTAATAGTTTAAGGCTTATAAGCCATAGACATTATATTTTATTATTTCTAAAAAACTTAAAAAATAACTCTAAAATAACTTTTAACTTTAAATTTAACTTACATTTTTCTATATTAACTATTAACTTATCGAGTAAAAAAAAAAAATAGTAAACTTACCTATTCTGCCAAATGCCATCTTTTTTTTTTTTATTAATAAAATGGATTGTCGACTATACATTTTCAATTTATCGTCTCTTTTCCATGACTACATTCTTATAGGTTAGGTACATAGGTAAATAATGAATATTATGAACCGCCTTTTTATTGTTTGGCGGTCAATACTCACTAGTGATTACTTACTTATTTACTTATTAGCTGGTTAAATAGTAATAAGTAAAATGGTGGAAATGGTCTACCGCTGAGTACTGAATACTGAATTCTGGGATCAGCTTGTTGCGTTGCCGCGTTGGCATAAATAAATGCGTCGCTAAGATTCTTAATACGATTTTATTACGACGAAACAAAAATTCAAAGGTCGATTCCGCTGCGCCCGGGAAGCAAACTGTTAACTTGACGACTTTAATATCCTGTGCGGGGATGGAGGACTCACGAGAATCGACCTTAAACAAAAAAGACTTGTGAGTACTTGATGAATATTTGTGAGCGAGCAATGCCATTTAATAATCGTATTAATTGTTACAGGATTGATGGTACAAGTTCGTCAAGTTACATAGAGGGCTGTAAAGACCTAGGTGTTAGTAATTTGGAAAACTCCAGAGGCTCCAAACGCAGTCGTTACTTGTATCCTAATACTAAGGTCGGTACTAAATATTATTTTTTTTTTTTTTAAATATCTATAAGAATTTTATTACTGTCTTGGCCGGCTTGTATTATATTATGGTTTATGATAAAACAAATGAAAATATAATAATGATGGGTTTGGTATTCAGGAGATTTTTGAAGTTTTGAAACTGTTTAAGGTATCATAATCAAGATATTCTTTTTTAAATGTGTCCAACTTTAAAACTTTGTTTGTCTAAAGGTAGGTACTTAAGTTTAATTTTAATCCAAGAAAAAAAATATAGGTATACCAAATTATTATTTTTTAAGAAATTAGATAAATGTTCAGGTTAATATGGTGGATAGCATATGGTTGTGAAGGTTTCTCTCTGAATAGTAATTTTATTAATTTTAATAATGGCTCAAATCCACTTGTTGAAATCCACTGGTCTGTACTATAATACGGCTAGACAGTTTTAATTTTTTTAAATTAGTCATTCTTTCTCATGATTATTGGAGTAAAAATCAAAATTGAAAGGATAGCAGATTTTGATTATGTTGTGTGAATTGTTCATTTATGAAGTATTACCTACTGTACTGAAATTTTCATTGGTTCGTTTAAATTTAATTTTCTAAAATTAGCCTTCAGAATTTTTTCTTAAATTTTTTTACTCAACATTTGTTTTATGAGGGAATTTGTATTCATGTGAATTATTTTGTTTTCTTCTATAATAGTAAGTAATATAATTTTACCTTTTTAAATTTATATTTGAAAACAAAGCAATAGGTTTAAATTGTGATACATAATGTCAGGGGCATCATTTCACATTTTCTCATGGGATGCAAAACCAATATTGAAAATCTCAAGTAATAACAATCGGTTCATTTCAATCATTCAACATTCCAATGAACTAGTTCATGTTATATTGGTGATCCACAAAATATTGTGACAAATCAAAAAAAATTACAAAATTATTGTTATTTGTTGTATACTATAATTTGATGAAATGATCTACACAAACTGTGTTAAAAAAAATGCATAGGATACATTTGCACACCCTTGCATCCCACAAATGACGCCACTACATAATGTGCAGAACAAAATGTTCTAACTTTAAATGTATTGTTGATATTTTAGTTTTTATATATCTTTAAACTGAAATTTGTATTTTAAAGTTTTTGTTTAATATTTTAAAAAGCTTACAAATTACTATACATATATTATGATAAAATAATTACATAATATGTTAATTAATTATGTGTTTTGTTTATTTAGATATGGCCTATGGGTTATGGCTTGAATACTTATGTGTATAAACGTAAACAAAAAAAGTGTCTAATGAATAATGGTAAGTCAGAGTTTAATTTAAAAATGTTGTTTTATATGTTAATTATTAAATTATCTAATATTTGCTTACAGACGATTTTGATACATTACCAGAAGAAATAGTATTAAATATATTTAAAATGATGGACAAGCGTACTTTACTTAAATGTGCACTTGTATGCCATCAATGGCGACGTATTGCATATGATGAATCTTTATGGCAACATTTAAACATACCGTCTCGTCGTATGAGTGTCGAGACTTTAGATAATATTCTTGCCCGTAATATCAAATACTTTTCTGCTTCTCATTCAAATGTAAGTAAATTATCTATTTTGTACTTTTACTATCATTACTAATGTCATTTCAACTGTATTTCAGTTTTATATTTATGCAAACCAGTGTTTATGTACAACACCATTTCCCAAGTTGCAGTACTTAGATTTGAGTTCTGTATTTATGCATTATAATAGTAAGTAATAAATATTAATAAAAAATGTATAAAATTCAATATATATATATACATATTTTTTTTTTATTTAAAGCGCTACGTTCATTATTAAGGCAATGTTCTAATTTGATAAAACTGAGTTTGGAAAATTGTACTGTAGATTCTTTATGTTGCCAGTACATTGGACACAATACCAATTTAAAAGTACTTAACTTAGCTTCAACAAATGGTCTTGACCGCAATGGCTTGGTTCATATAGTGTCTCTCCAAAAGTAAATATATTAAATTTATAAATATTAATTATATCAATATATTATGTGTTTGATGTTTTTGGGTAAAATAATTAGTGATACAAAATATTATTTTAAATGTTTATATTTTAAATTTAATGTCTATTTTCATATTTAATATGCTGTTTAGTTGTTTAAAAACTTGAGCTTATAAGGGACCGGATTTATATGCACAAATAGTCCTCAATATATGCTTCTAAAAATTCATCAAAAACATTTTATTTAAAATTATGTAAAAAACATGTAATTAATTAAGTAAAAAGGTTTTAAAAGTATAAAAAAAGTATTTCATCATCTTCATTAAATTCTTCGCCATTTAACATTTTTAATCTTCAATCTATAAATTATTAGCCCTGATCGGCTTCTGTCGTATACTTGAACTCTATTATATGAACAACAAATTTATCTATATTAATATAATAATAATATATACATATATATGTTGCATATGAGTATGTCAGCTTATTTTTAAGAATAAAGACTGGTCATAAAATATTATTGATATTATGTGGGTGTGAACGTGAAAATACGATGAAAAACATATATAATGTGCTATAAATAATAATATGCACTATACAACCACAAATATGCATTTAATAGGTAATATAATAGGTAAACGTTGCAAAATACAATTTGTGTTATTTTAATTAGAAAGAGTTAAATTGGAGAGAATTCTCATCAGATTTCAAAAAGCTTATTCCAATACGTATATGCATTTGCATTTTCATATAAATCCGGTTCCTACTTATAACTATAGATAACTTCTTCCACCTGAAAACTGCTACAGTAAAGCCACAGAATGCACTTTATTTATAGACTACTATTGTTGTAGGTATTTGTCACAACTCATAGGTAATAAAGAAATGGATAAGACAGCAGTTACATTTTTACGTAATAGTAAATGAAACATTTATGTCGGTTGGCTGCTATTCTCATCACAGAACACTTGCATTTACTGTAGGAATGTCGTATCCATTCCTTTATTGTTTATGATGTTTGAAGTGGATGAAACTCAATATAATAAAATAAATAAAATATTCTATAGATTTGATTGTAGTTAGTATTGATAAAAACCATACTATTTATTATTATACAATACCATGGCTAACCCACCTTAAATACCAACCACAGTGGTCGTGGATATAGTAGATATAGTTATAAATGTATGCCTAAAAACAATTGTTTTGTAGTAATAGTTATTAGTTAATTTAGAAAGTTCTAGTGTGTCCTGCTGTTGGATAAAATGTTCTTGTATTCAGTCAACTTCAGTAAAGTTTCAATTATGGCTGCCTCAAGAATAATTTTATATTTTTTTAAAATATTACAAACGAATTGGACCCCTATATCCCCTCCAATTTTTTTTCCAAGTATAATTTTTGTTTGCTAATATTTCAGTTTGGATGAATTGAATGTGTCTTGGGCTAAATTGGATGATGACAATTTACATTATCTGATTGGCAATATGATCCCAAATATAAAATGCCTTAATATTAGTGGATTTTTGAAACAGTTAGCAGATTTTGGTATGTTATTAGTGGAAAGTTTTAATATTTCCAAACTGTTATAATGGATAAATTTAATTATTTTTTTGTAAAGTTTATTGGTTTTAGGAGCAATTTTTGATTTATATTGAAAACATTTCAGATTTGTCAATGTTGAGTAGCCGTTGTACGAAACTACTTGAATTGGATATTAGTGATAGCCTTGCTATTACTGCAAAAAGTTTGGACAAAATATTAGAGAAAAACCATAATTTAAAAGTGTTGTCCATTAATCGCTGTTACAATATTGATACTCCTAGACTATTAAAGTGAGAAATTTGAATAGTTTGAAATTATTAAAAAATATGTTATCTCTTACAATAGTTAAAATTATGTTTCAGTCTAACAGAGCTTTCGAGAAGGAAAAGAAATTCTATTATGAGTTTGAGGGAGGTGAATTTGATTGGCATAGCACCCATGCGAATATTGGAGGATATAGCTGGTTATAACCCAGATATGGCTTTGAAAATAAATGGTAGCAAGTTTTCTCGTATTGGCCGTCCAAAACTGGCACAGAATATACATACCATTTGGGAAATTCCTGCTTTCATAGACTGCTAATACTTTACTCTTTAGGTTATGACTAATGTTCCATTGCCAATATACTGTGATTTAAGTTATAGACCATTAGAATAGAGTTTTATGAACTTTTAAAATTCTATTTTTTTATTTAATTTCAATAATCTTGAAAAATTAACTATTATTTATGTATTTATTTTTAATTGTATTAAACTATTACTATTATTGAATAGTTTTGGTAAAAATGTTTTTCTTCAATTTTTTTAATTGAATATTTAAAACACAGAAAATATAAATTTTGACTGAGTTTTTTTTTTTAAATTATTTTAGTTGATAAAAAAAGATTTTATCATAAACACATTTAATTTATGACAATGTTATACAAAATAAAGTAAATTTAATATATTATGTTAAAATGATTATTGTACTATAATATGTACTATATAATTATATTTATTTATGCAAATTTAAAATTTAAGAATGTATTTTCATTGATTTGTTTTTATTATTCTTGTTAAAATATATTTTATGATTCCATTAATGTAAATAAAAGAATGGAAAAACATTTAAATCTATGCGTTTTTAAATTATTAAATTATTTATCCGGTTCATACACAGACATTATTAAATCCAATTGCAATAGAATTTGAAAAAAAATTATTTATGAATAACATACTATAACTAAATTCAAAATAGTAATCAACATTATGCTTATTAGCAATAATTTCATGGGGGGACAGAGTGGCTGAGCGAACTAAGACGTCGGTTAAGATGTGCACCGACGCCGGTTCAAAACCTCGCCTGCAAGCGTCAATATTTTTTTTGGGACAAGTCATGGTGTCCGGAGAGAAGTGCCGCCATCCACCACCTGGGCATGGCAGATACCTACAGGTGCCAACTAAAAAATCTGCCAAATTAACAAACACACGCGTTTAAACCTAAAGTACGCTCCCCACATTTAAAAATCCACCCAATTGCCCAAGTTGCCGAGAGTTAATAAATAATAATAAAAAAAAATAAATAGTTGCATTAGACATTAAAAATAATTCAATATGTCATCTTAATTTCTTGAAATGTTCCTTACTACAAACAATATTAATTATTACGGACTGTTTGTAATTTATTTTAGTAATGTATTACAGTATTATATGGTGGCTCATCTTGGACAGTTGAACCTGATCAGGCCTTACAAAATTAATTGAACTATTCAGGAGCAGCAAGAGCAAAACTATGATACAAGGATTTTAGAGTAAATTAGTCGTCGTTTCAATGGCGTCTATAAAGCAAACTACATTTATATCATTTTTTAAATATTTGTTTTAAAGTATTGATAAAAGTTCTTTGGGTGGTTGAAATACTTAACAATTTGATACAGGATCTCTCTTAAATTGTTCTTATAATAATTTAAAAATACACACTCAAATTCCTTTTATAAATATTTAAAATTTTAATTTTAACATTTGTCAATATATTAAAATTTTTTATATTATTTCGAAGTTAAAAATGTATAACATTTTCCGATGTTTTATTGATCCCGAAAAAAATATATAATAAAATATCAAACATAAAATTGTAATTGCCAATATATATTTTGTTGTAAATTGCAGACAAATAATAGTTTATTGTGAAAAGTATATAATTTGTGGTTAAACAACAACAAAATAATGACAGGATTTCTTAAATCATTATTATAATATTATACAACAATTAAATATTTTGAAAATCCATTACATTTATTTAAATTTTACGCGGCTTTATAGTTATTAGTTGACCAACCAACATTCAATATTAAATGATCATATCCATAACCATGTAAGCCCTTGATGGCTCGTTCGGCATCTAATCTAGATTTGAAATTCACAAATGCATAGCCTTTACATGCACCTGTAACCTTGTTAGAAGCCAAGAAAATTCGAGCAATCTGCCCAAACTTATTGACTAGTTCACTCAAATCTGCTTCTGACGTGCTCTCTGAAAGATTTTCAATACGAATAGCTGGTACCTCGTCGTAACCACGGGCGTATGGATCTCGCTTTCCAGCGGTATTTGTAGCTCCTTCTCGTGCGGAAGGTGGGATGTAAGGCCTAAGCAATGGTACAATGTTAAGACAATAGACAACAAAATTACAATGGACAGATCTAAATAATCTAACCTGTTGGTTCCGGTGTTCTTTTCCGGTTCGGACACCTTTTCTTGCACTAATTTTTTGTCCTCAACAACTAACCCGGTGCCCTTAAGATGACAAGAGAAAGACCAATGTTCGCCGCCGCAGGTACGACACTTGATGTTCATGTTTACATTCTTGAGCTTGTCCAATGGGTTCTCTTCTGCTTTGTCTCCGTCCTTGCCAGACAAGAACTGCATCTGTATCTCTTCAGCGGGTATGGTCGTCGCGATATTTGGTCCGGCCTTATCGTTGCGCGAGTCACCGAACTTGGGCCACGTCTTCCGTTCTGCTATCGTTTTGGACACCAGCCGTTTTTCGATCTTGTAGGTGCGCACCACCTTTTCCTTCTTGTCGTCTTTGTTCCACCGGTATTCCGTTATTATCCGGTTGTTACCTACTTGTTCGGTCTTTGACTGCGGCAGCGTCGTTTTCTCCAAGTGGTCCTCGACCTCGTCGGCCCAACTTACTTTAATCAAGTCTTTCATCTAAAATAAAACGCGGCAATCAGGGTACGGCGGTTGACAGTTTTTGCGATACTTACCTTTCTTGGAGGTTGGAAAAGGGATCGGAGAATCGATACCTATCGCAGACTTTGTGGCTGCGTAGTGCGAAGTTTTCCCAGAGACGAAAGTCTGAAGGGAAGTCGAAACTTGAAGTAGTTCGACAAAAGGCGAAAGTCAAAAGAAACAGAAAAAGTAATGTAAACATCGCGTCGTCCTGTTATCACCAAAACGCGCCTCGTGAGTGGTCGTGGTCGTGGATGGGACGCGCCTTGGTTACTAACACTGAAACCATACCACTTACCGATAACCGACGGTTGGCTACGCTGTGATCCGCAATATTTATCGCGATTCCCTACACCCCGACGGCTGACGAATTTATGTTCTTGGATGGTAGGGGGAAACGCTTCCCCAATCCCGTGAAAATTAATTTTGTAAACAAACAACGTCCCGGACTAAAGAGTATAAAGTATAGACTATACTACTATAGAGTCTGCCCGTCTAGAGCATAGAAAATATATACTGGTCTGGAGTTCCGACTACCGAACGGCAAAGTGGGTGAATCGAGAAATCGAGCTATAGACGAGAATTTCTCACTACGACGAAGGAGGTACTCACACTAGAACCACGCAATCGACGATGCGAAATCGCCGCTTCGTTTTTTGTTGACTCTTCTAAACGCGCCACCATTTGCGTGACGATTTTCGGCCAGCTCGCCAATAATGGACGTACCTCAACCTCCGGAAGGTAAAATCTCGTCAGATGGCGTTATTCAAAATCGGGGCGACGCAGTTTCATTTTATGTCGTTTTCTTATTTTCGTTATTATATCCGTAGATCACGAATTGCGCACGATCATCGACAAGTTGGCCGTGTTTGTCGCACGCAACGGACCCGACTTTGAACAGATGACCAAGACCAAACAGAAGGACAACCCAAAGTTTGAATTTCTGTTCGGTGGCCGTTACTTTGATTACTACCTGCGTAAAGTCTCCACGGAACAATCGAGTGAGTGGTGTTTCAAGACTCCCCGACTAGCTATTACTAGTTTTAGGCACTATTGACACAAGCAGTTTGTCCAATCTATTTTTTTTCTTTTTGAATTTTAAAAGTCAATACCCAAACACAACAAGAGACACTGTAAGTCTGTTTTTAAATGACGTTTGTTTACATTTCGTTAGCTATTGTGCTATAGCTAGTAATTCATTATTAAGGTGTCATCTTTGTGGATTTTATTACTATAATTAATGTTATGGTGTTTTGTTAACCCTATTCATCAATTTAAAATTGTCATTTGTTCTCTTAAGTTATAAACTAATTGTTTTATGAAATTATTTAGTATTGAATCAAAACAGTGTTAGAGAAATAGCTCAAGCCGCAGTTGCAAATAATTCAGTTAGTACACAGCAATTGAACATGGCAGCCGCAGCAACGCAATGGTTAAATTTAAACCAAACAAATGATTGTCAGCCATCAGTAGTTACCATAGAATCCCTGAATGCTCAACAAGCCAATCTGCAGCAACAAATTGCCCAGGCAGAGAAAAATTTTAACTCACAACTAATGGTAAGAAATAAAATAAAAGATTCTTGAATAATATTTCAGTATATTATATAAATCAATGTTAATAGATATTGGCCCAGCAGCAACAAGTGGCTACTGAAGATAAAATTCTATCTGAACAGCGAGAATATATTAATTCTGAAGCCGCAGCTAATGATTTATCACTGGTTGAGTTGTCATCTGTGCTTGAACCAATTATTAAAGGATGTACTAAAGATGCAATAGCTAATGGTAAATCATGGATTATGAAACAAACAGCCAGTGAACGAAAAGTTGATGTAATCACCCAATATTTACTTATGGAGTGAGTGACATATTAGTAAACCATTATTATTAACCTGTTATCAATAATATATTTATATACTATTAATACTGTTCTTTGGTACAGAGTGATGGACCTAAATGCAGAATTTTCAAAACAGTTGCATTTAATATATTTAGTAAATGACACAGTTCATCATTGGTAAGATGACTAATTGTTAGTAGTTATTATGATAAATAATAAATACTTACAATTTGATTTTTAATTGTTCTCTTTAGTATTCGTAAGTCAGAAAAGATACTGAAAACATCGCTTGAATCGATCATTGTACCAATGTTTTGTTCAGCGATGATGAGGGCAAATGAAGATCAAAAATCTAAACTAAGCAAAGTAAGATCAATACCTATTATCACATACTTTGATAATTTTAAATAATTTTTAAACTTGGTTTTGAAATCAATAGCTGCTATCTTTATGGGAAACAAAAAATCACTATTTCCCTGAAACTATAATGGAGCAATTGAAAAATCCTGATAGATCAATGGCTGAATATAAAAGCGACCTATTAGAAAAGTATAGGGATGCTGTCAATCAACTCAACATGATCATGAACAATACATTACAAAATTACCGTAGCCAACATCAATCATTTCTAGCACATTGTAACAATCAGATTCAGGTAATACAATAATTATTAAAAAGACAATATCTTATGAAAACTTATACCTGGCTCACTTAAAACATTAAGTGCTTAAAAAGTCACTGATGTAGGGATAATAAATTAACAAACCAATTCTTAGTTGATATTAAACCATCGAAACATTTAAAAAATGCGTTTTAGCTTTTGTTAAAAGTATTTGCAAAACTATTCGTTGGATGTATGAGAATTTTATTTTTTTATCTTAAATTAGTTCAACGTGACCATATTAAATTAAATTTTATTAATGCCTATTCATGAATACTTTTTGTATGTATATATTTATATTTACATGTATATTTATATTAATTATTTGTATAATATTATATTCAACCTTTCTTTCATAAGTCATTTTTTATTGGGAATTCGATTATTTTAGAGTATAGAAAACCAAAAACGTTCGCTAGAACAACAAAAACAAAGGGTAACTCCTCTTTCAATTCCTCCAGCTCAAGGTAAGCGCACATCTGATTTAAAAAATGGACATTTTACACATTTTATGCAAAATAAAAGTTCAAATATTATTTATCATAAAAGTTTATGTTCAAACACAAGGTTTCAAAACTATATATATATTTCAAAACTCAATACTGAAGCTTTCATTTATCCTTTACAAGTTAATTAAGATCATTTTTAAAAAAATATATACGTAACTGTAGATTATAGATAGTTTTAAATTTAAAGTGTATAGTAGTTAAAAATGATTAACTTTCTCAATAACTTATTAATTTGTTTTAGTAATTATAAATGTAACAATAAAGAATATACATTTTTTTCTAGCTTCATTTTTTTATATAATATAACAAACTTTAAATACTTCTGAGTAATTTTGTTTTTGTAACTTTACTTTAATTTTATACTATTTTCAGAAATTATCTTAATTAAAATAATAATGCAAATTAATTGATTAGTATTATCAGGATTTTTGTAAATAATATTCACTTTTTAGTTTTTTCTCACAATACTACCTAGTGTCAATTATTAAACGTTTTAATTATATTGGACATGTTTGTATGTTGATTGCATTATTATTTAATGATAAACAAATATACATAATATATATTATTTTATTTATATATAATGTATATATGTGTTTGAGTTATTAGTTCTTTGCATCTACGTTAATTTCTCATTAATTATTTTTATATATTTTTGTGACACATGTTTTTGTATGTGTTTGGTAATTTTTTTTTTACAATATAAATACAATTTTGTATTTGTTAAGCTTGGTATTTTATTTCCATAATTTTATTTCTTACAATATTTTTTATGATAGCTAATTTTGTTTATGGTTTGTTATATTTAAGATATCTCAATTTTATTAAATATAAACTTTTTAAGAATAATATTGTATGAATAGTTAAATTCTCATATTTAAAAATTATCTCAATATTTTTCGTAAATGTATATATTGAATTGATTTTTCTCTTTAGGCTATACATAAAATATTTGAATTGAACATATTTTATTGATTATTCATTTTTAATTATTTTATTTCATTCTGGTAAAAATATTTTTGTTTTTTATTTATCAGGTTATAATTATTGATACATTTTTGTCATTTAATAAAGTTTAATGTATTGTAGAAACTAGAAACTATCATTTAGATTATTCTTCAGAAAATGGTATTTATTTATTGTGACACATGACTTTATAATTCTAATGAATTAATTCAACATCATGGTAACATGTGATTTAACCTGTAATATGTTTTCTTTTTACTGTATACTCAAAAGTGCTATAGACTTTGTTCTTATTAAGATTTGTTTCATAACTCCTTATGAAAGTAGTAAATGTATTTATATATAATATATATATTATATTATCATTATTGTAATGGAAACCTTGTGTACATATTCTCTTAATTTTGTAATATTTCCCCTTTAGAACCATTTCTCTTTTGTTTTTTTGTTTAGACGACACAAATCGACAGCATTTTAAGGAAGGCCGTTTACCTTCTCCTCCATACCAGAGTAACATGTCTGGGTATATGCAAGCCGACCAACAAAATTATCCTCACCAAACAGATAATGGATATCAGCAAGATGATCACTATGGACAGCCTATACAAAATTGTATGCAACAACCTCCCTCTATGTATAATAGACCTCCACCACCATTTAACCAACCACCACCAAATATACACTTACAACCTCCACGTAAGTATATTATAAGCAAAATAATTTTCATCACTGTAAACTCACATAAAAATATTATGACTCAAGCTTCAATGGAATTACCTGATCTGAGCCGGCCACCTCCAAATTTTATACAAAACAACTTTCCTTTACCACCAATTCAGCCAGATATTACCCCGGATGATTTACTTCCTTCACTGCCATACTATGAACTTCCAGCTGGCCTTATGGTGCCATTAGTTAAAGTTTGTTAAAAATTAATAAATATAGTATATTTATATGTTATATATTTTTGTGTATGTATTAAATTTTATTGTACTTATACA